GATTCTTTCTAGCGCTTACAATAACGAAAAAAATAAAAGCAAATTACGTTGAATAATTTGAATACCCACTGTATATTGACTAATAAAGATGACATAGAAATCAATACAATCAGTTATATTAGCGTTATTTCCATTGCAGAACAAAAAATTAATATTACATTATTTAAATAATGTGATTTTAATTTATTATAATCTTATATTCAGACTCACTCTCAAACTCTTGATAATATTTGCGTTAAATCTCTATGTGCACTTCCTGGCACAAATGATCGAACCATTCAATAACTTAATAACAATAATCATCATTTCTAAAAGCATTCTAAGTCGAATACGCTCGCTCGTAAACGACCATAAATCTGCATATATTGACGTATTTCATGATGCAGTAATACGCTAGTGGTATTGAGTCATGCGGCAAACCAAAATACAGTCGTATATGGTGAAATACCCAGTATATACGGGTTATTGAATTCTTTGTCATGGGATATAACCCTTCAATTATTTTGAATCTTAATGTTTTGAGATTTTCTTTTTTTTGTCATCCTATGTGGTTATTCCCACAATACTTACTATATGCTAACTATGCTACAGGCAAACAGACAGACACAGTCATTGGTGAACTCTCATTTCTAGTTTCTATCCTTTCAGTCAAGGGAATATAGGTAGTTTGTTGACTATTTTTATTTGTTTCTTCTTGTTCGGTATATTTCTTACAGTATTATTTTCATGTCTTACGTCACTATTACTTTCTCTTTGTAGGTGTAATTATATTGGTTATGTCACAAGTGTAGTGTATGCATATGACTGTAAATAATACGAAGAAGTAGAAGGTGCTAAAGAAAATTTTGCAAATAGTCAGACATAATGTATCTAAAAGAAAGTGGCTGAGAAACAGATCTCTTGTAAAATTTATCAGAGAGTAATTAGACAACAATGTGAAAATTTTTGCAGATATGCTGTCAATAATGGTAGAGGGCTAGCCCCTCGTCTTTTCGTTGTAACACTACCCTATGTCATTATATAAAATATTGATGTAAATATTTGATATATCGATTTATTGAAGATAAAAATAACGAATATTTACGTTGGCAACAAAAATATGATGGTTTTATGTTCTGAAAGAAATTATTCACACACGATAGCGCATGACAAATGTCAGTCCGATAAATATCAGGTCAATATATGTCAATGATTGTGAGGAAGTTTCTTTTTTGATTGTTTATGAAAATATGTAATCATTGAGCTTCTATTGATCACTATAACAACAGTTATAAAGCTATAAAATTTATGTTTTGAGTAATGTTTGTTTTGTTGATTAAAAACAAAGTGCGCAATTGAAAGAAAGCTTGCATCGAAAGAACAACGACATAAAATCACCTGATAGATATTGTTGTGATAGATAAAATATGCTCTATAAACGTATAGTTTTTTTTATACAAAAGAAAAGCATTGACGAACCAAAATATACAAGTACTTCCTTATAGACACTGATATATGTAGAGGAAAATAAGATTATAGAAAGAATTAAAAAAATCAATTGTCTATAATATCGTTTTGATGACTGTCTAAATACATTGTTTGTAGAGAAGATAAACTAATGTAGATATATTTTGATTTCGATTGCTGTTTTTTCTTTTTTCTATTTTTATCATCCTGTATATTTGCAAACTTTTTTTATTAAAAATTATCATGAAAAATCATCGTATATAACTCATGTGTATTTTTGCTTATTGTTTTATATGTGAATAATATGTTGATTCAACAAATTTCAAATTTTCTATTATTTTGAATTCTATATATGTTGATAGAAATTCAACGAAAATTCTAGATTCACTTCTTTAGAACAAATATTAAAAAAAAATCTTTTGTTTTTTCCAGTAAGATTTAATAATTTTGTCATTAATTGACTTATCGACAATTACTTATTTTCTTTTTTTTAATACAAACCACCAATAAAAAAAAAAATTTATGGCGTTATTTTACAAAGAAAAAACTTTCTACACATATATAGATATTTTCTGATCAGAATTATACATGAGACATGAAAGAATTCATATAAAGAATGTCTTTATTTATCAGTTTTTAAACCCAATCCATCCGCTTGTGATTCAAATGAATACAACGTCGAAAATAAATTTTCTCTATTTCCATATCATCGATTGACTCTTTTGGTATTAAATCGACATTGTATCCAAAGTTTTTTTCAATAAACAAACATAATTCATTGGAAATATTTTTGAATTACAAGTGAACATATGAGGTTTAATTATATTGATGTGCATATTAGTTAATAAAAATTACTCAAGTTGTCTGTTGTTGAATGCTATCAATAGCTCGTTGAATTTGATCAATTTCTTGACTTTGTTTTTCTACTTGTTTTCTAATATGAAGTGATTTTTGTAATAATTCAAGTGCTAATTGTCGTTCACCATGAACCATATGTATAACAGCAACATGAAATGCATATGTTGCCCAATCAATTGTATTATCTGGTGCATAGTGCATTGCTTGTTTATAACTTTCTTGAGCACCATCGAAATCACCTTTAGCATGCAATGATGCAGCCATTCGTGCATGACTACGAGCTGTTTCAATTTGTCCATTAGTTGTTAAATCAAGTGAAATACAAGCTAAATTTGCTATAATTGCTTCATCATTATCAATAGATCCTTTTCTTTTACTAGTAATACGTCGAATAGTACAACGATTTTTTGCATCATGTGATAAAATTATTTGTTCAATTTGATCATCTTTTATACGATCATCTATTTTTCGTTGTTCACGATTATATTGTAATACATCAAGTATACTTGGTCTGGTTGGATTACCACCATTAACATTAGCTTGACATGTATTAATTAATTTTTCTACAAGAATTTGATTACGAAGTGCAACTGCATAATGTAAACAAGTGTCACCAAATTTATCCTTATAAGACAAAAATAAATAAATTGTAATGTATGAATAAGAGAAAAAAAAATTAATTTACTTCTAAATTACTATCATTTATATGAAGATCAATTAAATAATTTAAACATTTTAATGATCCATGATAGCAAGCTAACATGAATACAGTTAAACCTTGTTTATTTTTTAATGATAATGCATTTATACATTGTTGATGTATTGCTGTTATACGTTCTTCTGGTATTGGTTTAGCTTGAGAATGAAAACGAAGTGTTAATGCTTTCAACATTTCAACATCATCACGTTCAACAGCATAATGAGCAGCTGTATATCCATCGATATCTTGAGCACATGTATTACATCCACGCATCATTAATAAACGTATCCATACATATTGATGTGCATGAATGACTAATACATGAAGTACTGTCTAAAATAATAAAATAAAAATAATAATTTTTTTTTCGTTTATTGTTTTATTATTATTTTAAACAAAAATATTAACCTGTCCATGATCATTTTTCATTTGAATAATATCATTATAATAAATATCAAGTGAACGTCGAAATGCATCGAAATTACAATGACGAAGAAGTGAGAAAATATCTGAGGATGTATTCGTTGGTGCTGTATATAGTAATGATCCACATACACTTGTATGATATGGATATGAAGTCGATGTTGTAGTTGCTTGAATAATATTATTTATATCTGACGATAGAATTTTGTCATCAACAGATATTTGACAGTCTACGAAGAATTAAATAAAAATTATATTAGTATTTTAACAGTAAAACATGAAAATAAACTCAATAGAATTTTCTTATTAATAATCATTATTATCTAGGCCCTAATTAATTTTAAAAAAAACCAAATAGTTATCTTACCTGAGCTTGAATTTTCATCATCGTTACATTTCAGACGTTTCGACATGCTTTTTTTTCAGCTTTTTTATTATGGCCAGAACGGCAACGGCACAAGAGGGCTTTTATATAGTCTAATGAAAAAGAAAAAGCAAGAACGAAAAAAGAAAATGTACTTCCCACATCCATATTATGAAAGCAATTTGTTTTCCTTTATTTTATTCAAAAAAACTGGGAACTATTACTTCCAATTTTTCCATATGTTGTAAATAGCTGTTTTTGTGAAATTTCCAGAATGTAACATAAAAGATAAAACCGTTTTTTTTTTTTCATCGTTTCATATTTGTCTTTATATTCTAATCATAAAATGCTATAAGAAAAAAACCCTGTCACGTTGTTTGAAGGTCGTAAGCATTGTAAGAACAAAAAAAAAAGGAAGTGCAGAACAAGAAAATTACTTACCCATATATATGTATGTTGTTAAATAATATCTAAGAGAATCTATTTGCTAAATTTTTCAAATCTACACTTCCTTGTACAAAATTTCAATGTCAATATATTATTCAATATGTTCTTATTCACACCGAAGTCATGCTTTCTTTTTTATATTTGTAATACTTAAACGAAATATTTTTTTTTTTTGTCTACTGAATTATACTTGACAATGAGAAAAGAAAAAAAAATATCACTATATGTTTTCATCTAACACTTCCTTTATTTCAATCGACTATCTTTACTTAGTACATTTTTTGATTGCAAAGCATGATGAATGAAAAAAAAACAAATGCATTTATCACTAAGAAAGAGAGCAAGAGGTTGTTTTAGCGATGTAGTTAAATACCATGTTCTAAAAATAGTAAATAAAATGTACGTATAAGCATACTTTAAGGTTTGAGTATGACCTTTTTCATGTTTTCTTTTTATATCTAAAGAATAATTTTTATAAACAAGGAAAAAAAACCGATAATTTCGCAGAATGGAAGCACAAATACGGTGAGAAATAATAAACAACAACAACAAAAAAAAAAAAAAAAGAAAAAAACAATGCACAAATAAGGACAACGAACAAAAAAAGAAAAAAAGCTTCAGAATATATAGATGTAGAGTATGGTTGTTAAAGGCAAAATAAGCCTGAGTAAATGAGTGAAATAAATATGTTTTATCTGGTACGTTTAATATTGCACACGTACAAAAACTAAATACACACTTAACAAATAAATATTCATATGATCATCGGGAAAGAGATAAATCAAGTACGCCTTCCATTGGTGTTGTTTTTATTTGTATAATTTCTTTTAGTGTTTCACTATCCGTTGTTGTTGTTGTTGTTGTCGTTGTTTGTTCAATTATTTCTTCATATGAAGATGATCGATTAGGACCAAGAGATAAATCAAGTGGTTGTTGATATGTTGGTGGTGATAATTGAGGTAAAACATTAGCTTGTCGTAATAATTTCAGATCTTGTTCAATTATTCGTCGATTTATACGTGTATTTGGTCGATGAGATGGTAATTGAAGTGATGAACGTTTTTTTGGTGGAGAACTTTTTCGACGATTTTTTGAATGATTATTACGTGCTGCTGCTTGAGCACGTGTTGTTATTATTGATTTACGTATTGGACGTATTGATGAACTACTATCACGTTCATCATCTTCTTCAGCATCACCACTTGATGGTTCATCTAGTTTATTAAAAAAAAAAAAAAAAAGAAGAAAAATGAATTTGAATAATATTATTAAATTATTTACTATATTCAATTGATCCTGTAGATTTAGTTCGTTTTTTTGGTGAATATTTTATTTTTTCAGGTTGAAGTAAATAATTATGATCCATACTTGGACAAGGTGTAACAATAGTAGATGTTGATGATGAACGATTTTCATTATTAGACCTATATTAAATAGAAAGAAAAGGATCTCTTTTCTTTTCTATGAAAATTCTTTCATAAAATTTTCTTCAGACATTGGAAATCATGTTCAAGAGATAAGATGAGTATTAATAAATTATATCATTGAAATATAATGAATCTTATATGTCTCGTGACTTGATTCATCAGACACGAGACATATAAGATAGAAAGATATAGAAATAGATATCAACTTGCATTAAGTAAAGTACTTGATAAATATACAAGGTAAAACTTAACGTCAAGGATGTTCCGAGGTCATTTAGATTGGAGAAGAACTACTTTTGAAATGTTAGAGTTCACGATATTATGAAGGGTTGGTCCTTGTTACAGAAATTGATAAACAAAAAAACAAAGAAAATTATTGTTTTTTTCTGAAAAAAGATTATATGTTGAATTTGAAAATTTTATTTATGATATGTAATTATAAATATTGATTTTAATTCTTAAAATTTTTACTATTTTAAATAAAAACTTGCAAATCAATTTCTCATCATGTATATTATTTTGTATTCTATTCATTTTTCGAATAAAACTTGTATATATTGATTTATAAAGACATTATAGAAATCAATACATTTAGTTATTTCTATTACAAAAAAAAAATTAATATTACATTATTTAAATAATTTCATTTAAAATCTATCATAATCAGATGTTGAAATTTACTCTGTAACTCTCAATAATGATTACATCATATTCTCATGTATGTAAATTTTGAACAATCGATCGATTGAATCATCTACTAGTTTCATGACAATGATCAACATATCTAAAAACATTCCAACATGCTCATAAACAATCATAAATCTTCCTATATTGAATATGTTACATGACTAAGTATTACGATCTTATTTCTCTGTATATTACGTGCAAAGAAATACGATCTTTCATGGTGTTCTTTTTATTAAAAACAATATACGATTTTCATTTTACCTAGTCTCTCATCGTTAACGGATCATATATACATTACGGGGAAGTACGATCGTAATACTAAACTATATAAATATATCAAAATATAGTCGTAAAAAATGAAATATTGAGTGCGTATATATGCAATTTCGAATTTTTTGTCCTAGTATTGTAAAGAAAAATATTTTTACCCTCTAGCTGGTGTTGATGTTTTTGGTTCAACACCTCCTGATTGACGATAATGTCGTCGTTTATGTCGTTTGAGTATTTTAGTTGCCCATGGTGATGTTGATGAACGACGTTTTCCATCATTATCTAATGAGAAAAATTTTTATTCGAAATCAAACAAAAAAAGAAAATATTGCATGTCTTACTTTTAATAGATTGTCGATGACCTGATGAGGAATGAGGACGTTTACGACCTATTAAATCAAATTCGAATGTATAAAATTCAATCAACAAAAAAAAAAAAGATTTTCTACATGAGTGTTAGAATAATAAAATATGTTTTAAGACACACTTGAAAAAAAAAATGTATCAAGAGAAAAGAAAACCATCTGGTGCAACACACTATTACCAGTTATTTAGTTTTGTTCATCATGGTATAAATTATATATAAAATTGTTACTAAAAAATTTCTAAGATCAATTTCATGTTATAAACTAATATAAGAAAAAAAAAAAACGTTTTGAAATCATCGAAAAAATTGAAATTTTTCAATTTAATAGTCCATAAAAACAAAAAAAATCTCGAATTCAAAACTTATATTAAGAATTGATAAATTTCAAAAAATAACTAATTATCAAATTTGTCTTCTAGACGTTTGTATTGTAGAGTCAATGTTTGTTTTTTAATCATCATCTCTCATTAGTTTCTAACGAATAAACGATATGTGCATATTATTGATGAAATATTTTCAAAGTTTCATAATCGAATTATTTATTCTTGAATGATCATTAACGAATGAAAGTTTATCTTCATGCTATTACTTCTCATCAGTGTTTTATCCCGAAATTTTTTTCCGGAGGGGCGATTTGAATTTCCGAGGGGGCGAAAAATTATTTTCGGGGGGGGGGGGGCAAGCCATGTATTCGTAGCACGATTATCACAAGCCTCGGGAGGGCGAACTCGATTTTCTGGGGGGGCACCCCTCTGGATAAAACACTGCTTCTCATGCTAGTACAACCTCATTGAGATTCTCTTCCATAATTTTAAAAAAAAGTGAATGATAATGTTCATTATTCCAAGATGTTTTCTGCAATGTGTTGATTTCATCAATAAAATTTGAAAAATATTTCATTAGTTAGAAACAAGAGAAAGAAACCTGATACTATAGTTAATATATGGAAATAGTACATTCTAATACAATAAATAGGAAATATACAAGATTGTATAGAATTGATTGATGTACATTCAACAAAAGTGTCCTTTTTCAATTTTCATACCAATGAAAAAATATAAAAAATGATGACAATACGTAATTCAAAGCTTTTCCGTTAATATTTTAACGTAAGTAGGATCTAATGAGATTAGAAAAAGTTTAATAGGATAAGAGTTCGTACGTGTTTCTTTCCGAGTTATTAACATTTTATCAGATTTATCACTCGGAATAGCAAATCTAGAAGAAACTCAAAGTACAAAATTTCGAACATAACTTTTTTTTCATATTTAGACTATGATGATCCTTCTCGTGACCTCACTATCATAATAAATATGAATACTTCTTTCTCGAGAGAATGAGTATTGAAGAAAAGTCAATTTTCATGGTATTCAGTACTATGAAGATGTTTTTTTTTGAAGACTCTATATCCCCCCAAAAAGAAAGAAACATTCGTTTTGATTATGACATTGAGATTGCTATAGAAGTCATGTAATCGATATGTAATGCAATTTTAGTTTGAAATTCTGAATTGACAAATCTCTTATTTTAAGTGATCAATCTAATAGTAATATCCATAACTCGGAAAGGAAAGATCTACAAACTGTTATTCTTTTCAACTTTTTCTTATTTGATTCTATTTACAAACGTACGCTAATACTCATTGAGGAAAATTACTAGCTGTAAAAAAAGATTTTTCATTTAAAAATCCGAATCAATATTTTTTTTTGTCGTAGTACGAGCATTAACTCCTGATTAATAAAGATTAATTTTTTCATAACATCATTTGTATGTTCAATAAATCAAATTTTCTTTTTCCATTTTTGACATATATGAAAGCAAAAAAAATTTTTGTTTTTTAGGAACAGCTTCTGTATCTTTACTAACAGATGAGAAATATATCAATAGAAAAGATCTGAGTCATTTGAGACGATTTCTTTCTCATGACAAATCTATTCTTTATTATACATCATCTATATAATGACGTAATTTGCAAATCTTTTATATCAAAATTAGTTTTCAGCATTTTTCAATATTCCAAATAACTGATATTTATATTTATTCATTAAAAATTCATCGAATAATACTTCTGATACATTTGTATATCAACAAATTTTTTTGTATCTTGTCATTCAACATATCTCTATAAGAGATAATTTCACACAAAGAGTAGTTTTCAAACTTTAGATTTTCATATTTGTTTTTTCTTTTTGCTAAAGCTACAATTCTATCAAGTATAGATAAGTTCTATTATCGATGTTTTACCTGATGTTGAACTTCGATGACGTTTGGCAATATTATGTGAATCAGCTTCATCTCCATCCTCACCATCATCATCTGCTTTTTCTTCGCAAAGACGTTCATAAAGACGTGGAAGTACTGATTATATAAAGAAGAAAAAAAACATTATGATAAATATTCAATTCTTATTTTTTTTTTTTACCTTTTGTTTTCACTGTTGCTTTTGGTGCAAAATTACTTACAATTGATTGTGATGAACGATTAATGTCTCTAAATAAAAAAATTGAAAATTACAAAAAAAGAAAAATCAAATCAAATATAAAATTTACAATTGATCATCATGTCGATTTGTTGGTGCTTCGGATAATGTTCTAATAAATTCAAAAAAAAAAACAAATTTTCAAAATTTCGTAAAAAATAAAAAGTATTTCATTTTTATACTTATTTATTGTAATAATTGATGATTGTGATGGTGGATTTGTTAAATAAGCTTTTGTTAATAATGGTCGATAATATGGATCAATTGTCCATAATGAACGAGATTTAAGTAAATCACGTTTTGTTTTAACAAAACATGGTATTGTAATTAATGATTGTCGTAATAAATTTTTCCATCCACGTTTATTTGTTATATATTTAGCATTATTTTGTACATATTCATATAATTGTTTTATTGTTAATGACCATGATAAATGTTTTTCATCACGTTTAGAATAAAATCCAAGAAATATAATTATACCAAATGATGTTGTTGTTATTTTTGTATTTTCATTATCATAGGATTTTAATTCACTTATTAATTTTGCTAAACGATCTTCATCATTATTATTATTATTGTTTTGTTCTTGTTCTTGTTGTTGTTGTTGGGATATTAATGGATTTTTAGTATTATTATTATTATCTTTATCTTTAATATTATTTGAAGTAAAATCATCTTTAAATTCTTTTAATTTAAATGTATTTAACCATTTTAATTCAGTTAAATCATCGGATGCATAAGTTTTTTGTAATGAATTTTTAATTGGTGATGAACTTGTTAATGATGCAAAACATGAACGACTTAAATATGGTTTTATAGGTGTTGAACGTATATTTGTATTTGTTGTTATAATATATTTTTTTTCTGATGATACTTTTGAAAAATGTGTTAATAAACTTCCATCCATAGAACTATTTTCATCATCACTTATACTTGTTGTTATACCTGTTATTTTAGCTGCTTGAGAATGTAAAAATGAATTTACATCTGTTTGACTTGCAACATTAAAAAGACTCGACGAGTCACATTCATCGTCTTCATTAGACATTTCGTTTTTAATTTTTTCTTTTTTTTTTTTGTTATTAATTTATCTAGAAATATAAATAAGAGTTAAGGAAAAAAAAAAACAAAAGGTTTATGTATTAATATTAAAAACATAATCACATTTTTATTAATGTGACCTTTCTTTCTCTTTTTTCGTCCCATTTATTCATCAATCGGGAAAGAAAAGAAAAGTCATTCGCTTGACGATGACTACCATTTTGTTGCGATGTTTAAACCTTCATTTATATAGAATTTTTTTATAAAAAGTTTTTATTTTTTTTAAAATATTATTATATTTATTTGTTTTTGATTATTTAAAAGAATGTTTTTTTATAAGAATTTTTATTTGATTTTATTAAATCAATTAGTATATGAATGACATCTGTAGGATATAATCTTTATTAAACAAAGGATTTAAAAGTCTCAACTAAAAGATAATGATATGAGAACAATCAGAATCAAAAATAGGAATATATCAAATTTCGATTTTAATCTGTTGAACTATTGTTGTATAGAAGTTTTCTAATACAGAATCTTATATAACTTCAATCAATACAAAACGAATTCTTGAACACTATATATACAAGATATGATTTCTCAATATTATAATTCGAATGCCTTGATTTCAAAACAATACTGAATAAATTCTAAAATTAACTATCCGCACATAAAATCATACTGAATACAATCTGAAATATGTTCATTTATTATCACAAAAATTTATTCACATTTGTTCAAATTCTTTTTTGTTTTCTTTCATCTATTGATATATATATATATAACGTTGATATCAAAAGAAAATATTCAATTTTTAGAAATTTTATTTATCTTTTTTTTTTCAGTTAGTGAACACAACATATACAAACAAGCAAATGAAGAAGCAAAAAAAAAGAGAGAGAGAGAGAGAGAGACAAAAAAAGATGAATACAACAAAAAAGAGAAAAAAAAAATGAACAAAACGAAACAACATTCTGGTTTCTTTATTTTTTTTTTTGTTTTTGGTAATACTAACTACAATATATGATGATTATGTACACACTAAATGATCTTCTATTTTCAAAAAAAAAAAACAATCATCGGAATCATTGTTATATATATTTATATAATATTTATAAATTGTGCCTTTTTTTTGTTTCTTTTATTTATTTACCACCACCTTGTTTTTTATATTCGGCTACTTCACGATCATATCGTTCTTTTTCTGTTCGAGCTTTTTCTTCATAATGACGTTTTTTATCTTCACTTATTGAACGCCATCGTTCACCAATAAGTTTAGCAATATCAGCAACTGATAATGATGGATTATCTTTTTTTATTTTTGGTCGTTCATCTTGTGAAAATAAGAAAAATGTTGATAATGGACGTTTTGGTGCATTTGGATCTTTTTGTGATTTACTTACACGAGGCATTTTTCTAAAATATATTATTGAATTAAAATTCCCGCTTAACTATATATATATTTATTAGATTGGTTTTTAAAAGTTTTGTGCTTTTTTTTTTGCAACTGAAAATTTTTTTTTTTTTGTATATTAATTTATATTTCAAAAAAAATAAATTATTCTTCTATTAAAAATAAAAAATTATTCTTATTCTTAATTTTTTTTTTTTTATAAATATACATACTGTAAAAAGTAGATGTCGTATTAATCGAGTAGACTGTATATATACTGCTTTGCTTGCTACTTGCTTGCTTGCTTGCTTGTCTTTTGCACAGTGTGTGTGTGTCAGTCAGTCAGTCAGCAATAGCTATATGTGTGTGTGTGTAGAGTGGTGGTGATGGTGAATATGAAAGGAGAGAGAAGAGCTTATGTGAAAGAGCAATAGCGCGAGTGTCTGCTTTCTCTTTCCTTTTGCGCTTAACGCTGTGTATGTATGCCGTCGTCGGCTATGCAATGTAGTTTGTGCGTATGTGTGTGAGAGCAAGCACAAACATATAGACAGACAAAGCACACACACACACGCACATACATGTATATAGTAGCCATATATTTTCTTTCCTTTCTGATGCATGCTACTGCTTACGCTTACTTGTTATAGAAGAAAGAGAAGAGAAAAAAAAGAAAATTCTTGTTACCCTTGTTGCCTTACGCGAATGGCATATATATATATGCTTACAACTAACGTTCATTGTATGTAGACGAGAGTACAGGGCAAGTAACAGCCGATTCGATTTCCTTCTTATTCCTCCCGCTGCTGCCGTTATTGCACGCTACAACGATTCAAATGACAACGACAATCTACTGTAGAAGTATAAAGAAGTGGTGGAAAAGAACGACAGCAGTGGCAGTACTACTACTAGTTGATGTAGGAATAGTAGTGGCAGTATTAATAGGCATAAGAAGAAGAAGAAGAAGAAAAGGAGGAGGAAAAAAAAAAAACGACATCGTCACCGTTATTTCTCAGACAATAATGACACATATAAATTGTGCATATTTTGTTTAAATCTTACTAAATTAAAAAGAAAAATTCGTAATTGCTTAAACATAAAATTTTTTTGTATGTTTCTTAATATGGGGTCTTCTCTATCAAGATCAATTACATATGTTCTAAATATAACTTATTAAAGCGAATAATATATATATATTTGTACTCAATATAACGATGAGTTTCTTTCAAATCGAATAAAAAAAAAAAAACAATTTATAAAATTGAAATAAATATAATATTAATCGTAAAGAATCATTCAAGAACAAATTATTTTGTAAAATTTCTATCAAATTAAATATCAACAATCAAATAAATATTATAATTTTAATAGAATCTTATGAAATTTAAATTTTTTTCTTATATGTACAAAAGAACTAACTTTTTTTTTTTTCTCATCATCATTTTTCATAATGATCTTTTACCTTTATTAAAAAAATAAATGGTTCTTACAATAAAGAAAGATTTCTATATATATATATAAAATCTATTAATCGAGAAAGATAAATAGTTCATTGATTATCACTATGATGGTTATAGAATTAGATTTATTCAATAGTTTTTCTTTGCCATTTCAAGAAATTTACATAAAACTTCTTTTTTTTGCAAATATTCTATGGGTTAAAATAGAGAACATTGGTTTCTATATGGATCATGAATATGATTAAACGATGTACGAGAATTTTTTTTTTCAAAAGGTGAATGAGCGCATATTACAAGTTGTAAACTTCAGGAAGTTGTAAAATTTTCTTTTTTTATTCTAATAAATATACATTTGACTATTGCTGAGAAAAATGTACTTTCTTTCTATATTATTGAAACTAATGGTCATTTCAAAATAAAAAAAGCATGGCGGATGGGAATTTTATTAATAACTTTTGATAGAAACAAGATAGAGAGCTGTGGTTTTGTATCTTTAGAAAAAAAAGGGATGAAGATGCATTGAATCGTGTATCACAAATGCTTTTTGACTGAATATTTTTGCAGTTTTCAATCGACGTTTTTTTTTCTTTTGAATTTTAACGTATACAGAGAGATGATTATAGTGAATTTTAAATTGTTCAGGTGTGCATACAAACTATCAATGGAAAATCTAAAAAGTTATGTAAGTCTCATATTTTTAGATTTTGTTATTCAAGAGTCATAAGTATTCTGGGTTTTAAGCAATTGCTATGGCAAAAGAACAGATTTTTACGGTTCATAAGAACCATTTTTCTAATACTGTTCTTTCATAAATTTGATTAAAAGAATTTCAGACAAAAAAAAGAAAAATCATAAGAGAATTTATAATAGCTATATGATTCGATATGAATTCATCTTCCCTTTTCAATGTGGTGAAAATCGCAGTACTCTATCTTGTTTCTATCAAATGTTATTTAAAATATATTTACTCATCTATTTTTATTTTCAAATAAAAGCATTTGATCTCAATGAACACATTCTTAATTGATGATTTGAATATTGATAAACTACACATATATCTGGTAAATGTTAGATTTAATTTATTTGAAATCATAAAAAGAACATTAACACAAATTTAGTTAAGTATTAAAATCAATATAAGATAAAATGACTGTCTAGTTTTGTTTACATATAAGACATCTTCATTTGTTTTCATGATAAAATCTAAAAGATGTTTTAAAATGAATTGATAGTTTTACTTTCATTTATTCAAATTTAATTAGTATTTATTTTGAATTCCCTTTGATTTAATCTTCTAATATTTTGACGTTGGTTATATATCATTATTTAAGTTAATAATGTAAAAATATTGTCAATAAATGCCAATCGAAAATAGAATTTATATAGATAAATAAGAATTATAATAATTCATTTTGATAAAAATTTAACAGTATCTCTTGAGAATTTTCTAAACAAAATAAATCATGTTTTCTTTTAAAAATTTATTATTAATATTATCGAATATTTGAAACACTTGTCTTTTGTAAGAAAATATTATGATGCATGCAATATATTCGATCGCGTCTTATTAAAAGTTCTATACATGTGTCAAGATCGAAGGTCTCATTAAATAGAATATGATAAATATTTTGAATCGTAATAGTATGTTACATTCTAAATTATCACTTTAGTAAAAGTTTGACATTAGCTGTCAAAAAGTTGATATTAACTAATTTTGACGCCGATGAATACGTGATTGATTTTTTTTTTCTTCTTCTTCTTTTTTTTTTTTTTTGAAATCGAGTTTATTAACAAAAACCTTAAAGTAATATGATATGTATATTACTCTGTTTCATTAATTAAAATAAGCATAGTGTGGTATGTAAGTTCGAATCATTCGCATAACAAATAAAAATCATATATAAACATATTAATTTTCACTTAAAATTTCATTTTTATATCATCAAGGTATTTAATGTCATAACTATCCTCCGATATATATGTATAATATAATATATAATATGTTTCAAATTCCAAATATATGACAAAATTTTTTTAAATGGTCTTATTTATTATTGTTATATAAAAAAGATGTAGACCTATGTATCTAATGATCTATTCTACGTGTTGAGTCATCTGTACGCAATCATTTGAATCAATCTATATGACGTTTCGAAGAGTTATGTGTATGAGTGCAAAACGCATGAAAAAATGTCTCGCCATTATCGTCCATATGAAAATATGAAACGCTTGTATACTCTCGATTCAATAAAATGTTTCAATTTAGGATATGGTCGGTCTTGTTGATTGCAGCACGCCCTTCTATTCTCTCTTTTTTTTTTTTTCTTTTTTCGTTGATGATAGATCATTTTCGCATTCAACATCATGCATTCATTCATTTTGAACGATAATCATCGTCAAAAACGAGAGAGACAGAGATAGAGAAAAAAGTAGATGTTCAATCAGGCAGAACCAAGAAAAAGAATAAAAAAAAAAAAAGAGAAAAAAAAAACTTCGTTCAAATGAGGGACTCACGAACGACAAACGCGTAATACGTATCATCATTATAGATAAAAAAAAAAAAAAGACATTTCATCGGAACATCTTCAATTTGACGCATCAAGATTTTTCATAATAGAAAATACTTTCTTTTTCCCTTACGCGACAATTATTATGGTAAGAAAGTATAGTATTTAGTTACCTGACATACTCTTTGTAAGATGTTCCATGTTATCTTTTTTCCAGTATTTATAAAAATGACTTTGAAAAAAATAACCAATTAGTCAATATGTCAATCTTCACAAGAAAAACAAACTATAGTAACAAATTTTTTTTTCCATAGAGTCCTTGAGTATTACATATTTGATTATCAACATGTGTACATATTTATATTTTTTTTTTCTTACTTATTTTCCTTTTATTCAATCTTTTACCTTTCAACTCAGTCGTCCGTGACATGTCTTTGCTTATCTAATACATGTAAAGCTATAGATATGCATATATCCATTTCCTTTTTTTTTTAATCATCGTTATGTGCTAATAAATATGTATACATTATTCAAGTAGTCATTTATTAATTTTTTTTGCTTTACACAAATTGATTCAAATGGCACCTAAAGATATTGTCAACATTGATTGGGTATGTAAAGAAAATATCGAAGAAAAAAAAACCTCGAGTGAAGGATTTACTATATTATATATGAAAGTGTTAATCTTGTGTGACTTTATCTCATTGATACAAGGCTTAATCTATTGTCTAAAGGCAAATATATTGTATGAGAATAGGAAAAAAGGCGTAGATGATGACCATGATGCATTTTAGAAAATGAAAAAGAAAAAAAAAAAAAGAATCGATACAATTAGATACACATTTTTCATGAACATTATTTTATTTGTGAAATTGATTTTTTTTTTTTTAGAATTATTTCTATTATCATTTAATTAAAATGGATAATGAACATGACGATGATGATGAAATTAATTTAACAGTAAGTTACATTTATCAGATAAAATTTGATAATTGAAATTTTCGTTTTTTTTTTTTTTTTGTGTAAGAATGTTTTACATTCTTCATCGATTGATTCTCTTGAACAATACGAATTAGTATCAACAACAAGTGAAAGACTTCGTTTTGTTAATGGATATCATAAATGGATAAATACAAATGATGAAATTTATGTTGATAAAATAAATGATTATCATCATCATCATGAAAATAATAATCAAATAGATTTTATGGTTACCAATGATGATAATAATTCAATTCGAGAAAATATTTTATCAATAAATGATATGACTATTATATTAAAAAATAATTTGGAAAACGAGGAGGAAGAAGAAGATGATGATGATGATGATGATGATGATGAAGAAGACATTGAAAATAGTCTAAGTCATATGGACATATCTTTAGATCATTTTGATGTTGAACATCAAATTAATAATGATCGATCAGAAGAAGAAGAAGAACAACAACCAATTCGTGATGAAAGTTTCTCCTCGATATTATCAAATTTTTCTCAAACAGAAAAAATGAATCATAATGTCGAAACATTAGAAATGGATATGGAAAATGGTGATTGTAATAGAAAAAAAACAAATGGATATTCACAACGTCGAAATAATAATGATGAATCATATAAAAAAAATAATAATCAAATGAATGGTTCACCAAATTATAATGGAAATGGAACAAATCCAAATAGAAATAATAATAATTCAAGACGGTAAGTTAAATATTTTAATTACCATATCTAAATTCCATATCAAAGGACAATGCCATTAGTATAATGAAAAAAAAAGTATTATTAATAAAGACTTTAATACCAGAAATATCATATCTATGTATAGTTTAGCGAACAATACATAGAATAATCAAAATAAATAAATCAACTATTATCATAGCGATGCATTTTTATTTGTGTTTTTTTCCTTGCTATTACATCGGATCAACTAGTAAGAAGATCCGATGTATTGATAAGATTCTTATCGTATTGGCCAGAGACTACAATGGGGAGGATTTTTCATTTCTCGTCTAGCCCCTACTATTAAATCTTTTTTTTCTTCTTATTCATCTCGTCGCATCCCACCCTATCTCGAGTAAAAGATTTCGTTCGTTCAGAGCCTCGCTATGAGTTTACCTTCTGTTTTAGTCTCTGATATTGAAGAATGTGTGCTTATCAAAGATACAAGAGAAAAGAGAGCTAGCATGATGTTAGTCAAGGACAAATAACATGGTTCTTTGATGTCGGAAGTCATTTTAGTGATATGAAAATCAAAGCAATTGCCTTATTGTTCTTCTAAAATATATTAAGCTTTCAAGTTTTAGCTTCGAGAAAATATTAAATGATATTTTATAAATAAAAATGTATAAATTTGCACAATTGATTTCGATTTTACCATTCCGAATTGTACTTAGGAAAAATAAATAGGTTTCTGTTATTGTTGGAAAAATTGAAAAGACTAATAAATACTCACCAAGGAACCTCTTCGAATGTTGTCTTTTAATTGCAATAAATTTTTACCTATAGATACTACATAATGTTCTAATAAAAATTCTAAAATAACTAGGATTCCTATTGAGATTTAACTAAACTATCCAATTTTTAATATGTTCATTTTCTGGACTTCAAGTTTTCGAAAAACTTCTATTTTTGAACTTTGATCTGAAACTTTGTGCATACAGCGACCATAACGAGATTAGCTTCAATGAGAAATTCAAAAGTTTTGAACAGAATGTCTCTGAGAATTGAGACTATCAAAATAATAGACTATTTTCCATGGATAGTATATACAACATGGCTTTCTTTGAAAGTTTCATATCTCAAAGAGATTTTGTTCAAAATTCATGAATTTTTAATGAAAATCAATGTAGTTGAGATTTCTATATGCACAAACTTTCAGATCAAAATTTGAAAATACAAGAGGAATTCTACTAGAAGATCTTCTAGAAAACAGACACATTAAAACTTCGATAGCTTAGTCAAATCTCAGTAGAAACTTAAATCATTTTAAGGTTTTTTTATTGGGACACTATTTTTATTTACAAAATTTTCCATCAAATAGTTTCTACATTAAAGTGTTTACATATGTGAACAGCTTGAGAATTCAGTGAAGAATTTTGTAGCATATTTCAAAATTGGTTTATTTATCAATGTGGAGTTTGTACATTGTTGCGTTTAAGCAATCAACATTAACAAAAGTTTCTGGTTTTTAAGAGCAAAAACTTGTCTGTTCAAACAGCTAAGAATAAAACCTTTGAAACGTGAGTCTAGCTTTTAGAAAAGAACAGAAAAATGTTCTATTTTTTACGGATCACTAGTTACAATTGGATTATATTATGCAACCAATCATAAAAGTACGTCTTAGTTGAACTATACAAATACTCATTAAAATTACAAACAGAATTGATAGTATTTCAATTTATTGGAAAGCATTAGAAATCATCGAAAATGGTACAAAATAAACGAAAGTAAAAAACATTGTAGAAATTAGTTTGTTTCTCTTTCATGCTATCCTAACATATTCGTCATAAAAATTTATGTGGAATATTTGGTGCAGAGATGTCCATCGCGGTTGAAAACTGACCGCTGCCGCGCCGCGACGATAAAAGAAAAAAGCTAACGCGCCGCTACCGCACCGCGGTGATAAAAACAGAAAACCTACCGCACCGCTGCCGCGACGCCACCAAAAATAACCATGCCGCGATGATTGTTAGAATAATATTGTGAATTTTACGATCTGTGACTGTTCAGGACTAGAGCTGTTGTTACCAATCGACAAGATTCGTTGAATCTCATAGTTTTGCACTTGCAAACATTAAAATTCTGTTCGAATTCATGCATTTTTGCATTGTTCTCCAAAAAAACCTACCGCTAGCGCGTCGCCGCCGCGATGGACATCTCTGATTTGGTGTATATCAGAGTTAGGATAAGTACATAGTACCATAAGTAAAAGTATTTTACTTGCCTTTGCACAAATATATTTAGCCCTGTACTTATACTGAGGGAAAAGCAATCGATTTTTATATCAGACGAGTAATAATGAATACAACATCTAAGTACGAAGTACTTTTTAAAAGTACAAGTACAAATATTATCGTTCTAGCTCTGGTATATACGTTTTCGATATGAATGCAACCTGTCCTGTTCCATTTCTGTCTCAGATAATGATTATACAAAGTGTTGATATGATGTTGTTCGAAATTTTTTTTCTATTAACCAACCATCGAGTCGTAATGTATTATACTCTTTTTTTTTCTTCATCTTGCGATATTTTTATGTAAGACGATATATTTGAATGTCTTGATAGGATACGACTGTTCATTTTGTTATGATAACTTTTAAAAAGAAAGAAAATACATTAAAAATAAATTGGTCGTCGTCATCCTCACAAATGTTGCTTGTTCATCTATTACATATAGACAGGTTTCATCAATCAATATCAACTATTCTATATTTTCAAAATATATTAATATTTGTTGCATTGAATCACAAGATAATTGATCAGTATGAAAAACACTTATTCATTGTTTGCATAGTATAATCATAACTCTTGGCTCTTAACATTATTTTCTTCATATTTTTAAAAATAATTGCAAATTATAAAACGTCTCTCTTCGGTATTAGTCAGAGTTTAACTATATATAAACTAGAGACTTTTTTCTAATAAAAAAAAATGAATAGATTAAAAGGATCTACTTGAGTTACATTTTTTTTCGAATATTAGAAGTATTCTGAGATCATTAGAATAGAGAGGCTTGATAACTGAAGTGGCCTACTATAAGATTTTTGCTAAAATTAATCGATTTTGGCAGAGATCAAGCGTTTTTTTGAAAATTTCTCAAGATTGAAAGGTGATATTCGACGCTCCCTCGCTTGAAAAATCCTTGTTGAATACACTGAATAGTAATCATGCATATACATCGTAGCGAGAATTCTTTCGAAAAGTATTGTATTCATAATAAAATTAGAACCGATAATATTATTCTTTGAAATGAACAAATCGATATGAACTTTATTGTTTAAACAAAGAACAAAAACATTTCAAGATGAAAATCAGACATTAACAGGAGATTTCGAAAGACATTTAGTTTTATATAAATATTAAAATGAATGATTTATGTGTTACTTTAAAGATCCAAAAATGTTTGAATTTTGTTTTTTTCTATAGATCAGATGATGGTAGTGAAGAAAATGATGGTGATGATGATAATGATGATGATAATGATGACGATGATGATGATGATTATGATGATGATGAAAGTGATGAAAATATAGCTCGTCGATTAGGTTTCTTACCAATAAATAATGAAACAATACGTATAATAAATCGTTTACGTAATTTAACAAATAAACAATCATTTGATAGACGAGATTTTGAAACATTTCAAACATTAATTGATGAATTAATACATATTCAACATTTAGAAAATTATTCAAAACAACAATTAAAACAAATAATTCGTTATCTTAAATTATATCGTCCATTACAAACAAAATCTCGTGCATTAATATTTATTCAAGAACGTATACCAAGACGTGCTGTTAAATATAATGTTATATCAACAAATAATGAAAATCATCTTAATGTATTTGATATATGGCGTGAACGTGAACGACGTGCACGTTTAGATTCAAAAGATAGTTTAGAAGATGATGGACAAAATTCAAGTGGACAACAATTACGTGATGTTATTGAAATAAATCATCCAACACCACCAATAATACTTTCAAATAATAATAATTCAAATTCAATTGTAACAAGTAAAGTTAAACAAATGGCAAAAAATATTGATACACGATCAATATCATCACGTTCAGAAATTAATATACGTACAGGTGATCGTTTTAATGATCATACTAATATGCAAAGAAGTTTATCACCATCATATCCAAGTCTTGTTTCTGTTGCACTTTATGATATTAAATCAACAAATAAGAATGATGGTTAGATTAGTTTAAAAAAAAAACAAACAAATTTTTTTCTTCTTATTATCAAAGTTTTATTTTTTGTATAGGTTCATATAATGAAAATCTTAATGAAGATCGTATTGTACGTACAAAACCAACTATTAATACAACAAATTCATTATCACCAACACCATCAGAACCAAGTCGTGTACGACAAATGATTGATCGTCTTGAATCATCATCATCATCAACAAATATAAAAACAGGAAAAAAAAATATTCAAATTAAAAAATCTTTACATGATGATCATTCTGATGGTTCAACTAGTTTAACATCATCACCACCAGTTAAACGTTTTGCAAGACGAGATTATAATGAAAAAAATTTAATTAATGAAAATCATGAAGAAAATTTTGTTTTTGTTCAAGATGATATACAAGATGAAGTTTTTTATCAAACAAATAATAAGAATAATAATAATACTCATATGTCAAATGAAATTAAATTTGAAATTGGAAGAGATAATATAACAAATCAAAATCGACGTAGTGGTAGTACAACAAGTGTAAGTCTTTTTTTTTTAGATAATCTTGAATCTTTTATAAGAAAATTATTTATTTATCATGACACATAATTTAATGAGGGAAGGTCCCCAACTGATCAATCGCTTGTGCGTCGAGACTATGTGCATGATGTAGGTATGGATGAGCTATGAATATCCTAAAAAAAGTTTGGGCTGCTAGCTTGTTGGTAGGAAGATACTGCACTTTTACGGTATGCTTTTAAATGAATGCCGTGACCCCCCTCAGGAACACCAGAAAAAATGATTTTCGAATTTCCACTTGAAACTTTACGTAGAAGCAGACCTTACTGAGAATAGTATTTTGTGAAAGTTTCAGACTTTTTTGCTGTTGCTATCCGTAGATACAGATATGATAACTTCATTCGGATAAACCAGAAAATTTCATGCTCCCATTTCAGGATAGGAACAAATCCAAAGACCCGAAACATTCACAAAATACTATTCTCAGTAAAGTCTGTTTCTACATAAAGTTTCAAGTGGAAATTCGAAAATCATTTTTTTTGGTGTTCCTGAGGGGGAGCACGGCATTCATTTAAAAGCATACCGTAAAAGCGCAGTATCTTCCTACCAACAAGCTAGCAGCCCAAACTTTTTTTACGATATTCATAGCTCATTTGTATCTATATAATGCGCATAGCCTCGACGCAAAAGTGATTGATCAGTTGGGAACTCTCCCTCGTAAGACTATTTTTCTACTATTCATGTCAAACCATCATGTTCTTTTAAAGAATTTCTATGACAAAGAAAGTATTTTAAATAAGTATATATGTCTGTTATATATTTAAGATTTTAATAGTTCAGACTAGTGAAATATCAATGTAAATTGACTTATGAATTAGATTGTAGAGTTTCGGATATTGGTTGATCACGATTTTCATTTTATCGATGATATCTGATATCAGTTCAAAAATTATGCATGTATCACACTTATGCAAATAGTCTTTCAAAAAATTAAATCTGATGTTAAATATATGTTTGAACTTTGATCAAACATAAAACATATTCAAAATCATCATTTTGTCTCTTAGAAGATACTTTCTAAGATTTTGTATAATAGAGATAAACAAGATTTATATTTATTTTAATCTTAATTTATTATTCTATAGATTGAAAGAATAAAATCTTTATTTGTAAATATTGATCAATTTCATAACTTTCTTTTACTTGTTATAAATAGTCTTTCAAAACGTGTTTATCAAAGAGATATAAGAGTCAACATTTTGCGTCGTTTTTCTGAATCTCTATATATAAAGTTTTTTTAAGTGAACTACGCATAAGACAAAGGATAAACAGTAGAAAGATATCCAAAAAAAATATTGCATATCTATTCACCTTAGGTAGATTATGGTAGTAAGAGGTATCGTCAAAAAAAAATCTTCGGTATAAAACGCATGACGTGACTGTTACCATAAATTTTCATTGTAAAATTGACAAATACGATCTCATTCGATGTAATTTTTCTTGCTGATTTTCAAACATGTTCTTATTTTTCTCTTTCAGAAAAACGTTTGAAACAAAAGACAGGAAACACTTGAAAAAAATCAAGATGTTTTAGGAAATCTGTATCTCAGTCCAGAAGCAGTAATGTCAATTGAATAGATATGTTAAATAGAGGAGAACATTTTTGTAGAAGTGTGCGCATCGACTACCTTGAACACATCTTTTTATTATGAATACTTTTTTCTCTACAGGAAAATTATTAGAACAAAGTTTTTCATCTAGAACAATACAATAAGAACTCTACGATTGATTTCATAAGTCTGTCTACTTTATTTGAAAAAGAAAAAATATTTTCTTGTAAGATGACAAAATAATTCGATCAGTTTTTTGAGCTTAGACTTTTTTCAAAATGTTAAACAGTTAGAATAGTTGTTTGTCTAAATCAAAAAGACGATGATCATTAACCAAAGTATATCAGACATGATTCAAATTGTAAAAGAGAAATATATCATTTTCATTTTTTGATTAAATCTTCACATTGTTTGTCCATGATGAAATTTCAGGAAAAATCACTCCGTCGAATACAATATCGTTCATAATTAAGAACTATTCATGAGTAGAAATTTTATTCTGTGTTTTATGTTTTCTTGTTAATAAAGTTTTCATTTATATAATTCTCTTTTAATATACATAAACTAAATAGTCGATTAATCTATATGAAAATAATTTCTTATTCATAACACATATTTCGTTTTATTTCATTTATTTTTGTTATCTTAGATGGACGAATATGTTACTGCTCTTCTTCCTGGTACAGAAACATCTCTTTCAATGGTTCGTGATGTTCGTGCTCATGTTTATGAAGATGTTAATAGTTTAACACGTACTAATCTTGATAATATACCAATTAAAGTTGATGTTGAAACATTGTATATATTAGAAGAAAAATCTGATAAAAAAACTTTTCTACCACAAACTATTAATATTCATATACCTGATTATGAATATAATCGTCCAGCAACAACAACAACAACAACAACTGAACGACAAGATTTTGCTATGCAAACAGCAATACCAATACCAACAATAAAACCATCATATCGACCAGTTGGTACACAAGTTGAACCAATTATTCAACAACATACAGTTGCAGCTCAAACAACTGATTCTTTACATCGACCAATGAGAGAACGACAACGTTTACCATCAACACTTAGTCAAGAAGATGATACACCACAAATTACAAAAACAACAACAGTTACAACAAAACGATATGAAATAAAACGACGTCATTCAAGTCATCATTCAAGTGAAGATGATGATAATGATACTGATGCTGCTGTTATTTTTATTGATGATGAATCAAAAGCATCTAATTTTGAAGATAATTTTGAATTAAAACGTGAAAAACGTCATTCATCAACTGATGATCATATACCTAATATACCTGAACAACGTCCACCATTTGGTCAAGTAACATCACGTTTACGTATTGAACAATTACGTGATATTAATCGTCATGTTGTTCGTCGTCATTTACAAGATAATGATTATGATGAAGATGAATATTGTTCATCAGAAGTTTATGAAATTCATACACGTGGCGCATGTAAATGTATTGTTCTATCATCTGAAGAAAAAACTCAATATGGTAGTGAAACACGTTTTGAAAAACAACTTCAACGTATTGAACATACATATACAGATGAAGAATTAAAAGTAACTGAATTACATGTTCTTGTAGCAACATCAGATCAAAATTATCAATTAGTTAAACGTGATTATGGTGTTACTAATCAAAATCATATAGAAAAAGAAAATATTCATGATAAATCAAGACAACCATCTATATCAATACATTATTATACAAAAGATGGACAACGTATGAAAACAGAACATAATAGACATCTTGAACATTTACCATTAGTTATTCGATGTGAAATTGAATATGAACTTAATCATTATGGTATGTACTTGTCTTTCTATTCAATATTATCCATAGAATAGAATCCGAATCTCAATTTTATAATCTTAAAAATGTAATAGAAGGTCACCTTATTTGAATGAGTGTAAAATAACAATGTAAATAATCGAATAAATTTGTTGTTTAGTGATAACTTCTTTCATGAATCGAATTTCGTTTGTTCTAAATTTTTTTTCCTAACCACAGACAAGTTTGTTTCGTAAGACAAAAAAAATATTTACGCATTAGCATTAATGAGATATTGTTATTCAGGAACTGATGAATAGGAAATAGGCATGCTTTAAAATACCTTTGTATTAGAGGATTGTACAGAGTCTAGAAATCAAATGAAGATGCATGCATTTAAATCCTTTACAGTTGCAACACTGAGCAAAATAAAGTTACTGCTATGACACGCGTTTACTATCGCAGGAAATCTTGGCTATGTGCTACATGTGTTGGTGATACTAAAGCAAACGTATGAATTATCTTTGTATGTGTTATTCGCTAGGGAAGGATAATGTTTGATTCATAACTCCGTTACATGTGAACAGGTGAAGAGTCGGTTGATGCTTGAGATTAGAGTTTTATTGTTGCACGCAAGCATCTAAAATATTAGCTCAATATTATAAAGAATAGGTGTACTTCATAGTCGGCAGCTACTTTTCGTCAGAATTGTACAACTCTTTACTGTCATAATAAAGTTCAGCAAATATATATAAACCTATATAATCCATGTTTGTGCATAAACAAGGATAGAGTGTGATCCGAATTCAGCAAATTTAGTAAATTAACTTATATAAAAACCTAATAAGATATTTAGTATATGTAAGATACACTCTGAAATAATATACATTCCAAGTAATTTTGTAAAACACGATCGAAACGATTTTCAAAGCGTAAACGTAGACATTTGGACTCTTCACAGATCGTGATAGATGCCTAAGCAACACTTTCAATGTTCTTGATTAGAGAGAATGGATAGCTTTCCATAATGTTCGACTTTCTGCGAAGACTCTTCATACATTCTGCCAAAATTTGCCGCCCTTCTCCTCTTGCTTCACAGACCATAATCAACATTGTTGGGATATAAAAGCAAAGACAATATATCAATAACGTCTTTTTATAATTCCTAATTGCATCTCTGAAAGAATAAGTAGAAGGATCGTAAAGAAATATGTCCCGAAATAGATAGCATGCAACAATCTCTTTGTGATGAGTAAAAGTAGCTACATTGTGTTTCACTTTTCATTTTTTTACAAATTCTGCTAACAGCTTTGCTTAAGAATACTTTGATAGTTTATCAACTTATCGAAATAATATCTAGTCAATACTATCTTTTATGACAAGAACAATAGTTAAAAGACATCTAATTGAAATACAATTAAATATTAATTTTTGATAAGACTAATAATAATGTATAATATACTGTTGTTTTTTTGTTGTTGTTGTTTTTCTAGGTAGTGCTCAATTAGTAATATTATCTGTAACAGAAAATGAACGTCGTCAAATGAATACATCTCTTAAAAAAGAATTAGTTGATGAAATAGTATTACGTTCAGGTGGTCGTTTATCTAAAAATAGTTTGGAATTAGAAAATGAAATCACACGACAATTAGCTGAACCAACAGATCTTTTACATCTTGTTGATTATTCTTCACGTGATGATTATAATCAAACAAATTCAACTGATTTACGTCGTGTATCACGTATTGATGTAACAACATCATTACGTATTGTACAACGTTATCGTACAATAATTCATCGTCTTTGTCAATTATATCGTACACATATACAATTAACACAGCAAACTGAACAACAACGTTATTTAATATTAGTTGCATGTGATGAATATTATTTATTAGATTTAACATCACAAAATTCAACAATAACAACAAATATATCAGATATTCGACAACGACAACATGATATATTTAAACGAGAAGTTAATAATGTTATTCAACAGCAACAACAACAACAACAACATCATCAACCATTTGATTATGCTAAATATCGTCGTGATATTGAACAACAACAACGTATTTTAGAACAACAACATCAACAAAAAGAAATCGAACGAAAAGAAAAACATCAACAAACACATAAAGGTCCACCACCACCTGGACATCCATCAGAAGCTGAATTTTATCTTGGTTAGTTAAAAAACAAAAAGCTGTAGTGTTTTATTTTTCTTTTTCTATTTAATATAGGTACTGGACGTCGTGCATTAATTGAACGTGAAATTCATTCAATGCGTGAAGCTGTACGTCCACATGAACATGCTCCACCACATTATAAACATGAACCATCACGTCGTTCATTATCAATTAGTTATGGAGGTGGACAACGTTATATACGTGCACGTATTATTCATGTTAAAGATTTTTATGATGATACACAACAACAACAACAACAACAACAACGTCAACAAAAACAAAAACAACAACAACCACAACCAGCTAAAGAACAAGAATTATTTGTTCGTATTGATGATTATATTAATGAATCAGCAGCTGATTCATTACGTCGTGCATATTCAACAGATTATTTACAAGAAGATGGACCACGTTCAAGAATTCGTTATATACGTATACCAGGAGAAACAATTAAAATTGAAGAAAAAACAACTTATGAATATAAAGGAGTTATGTATGCAGATTTACCTTATTCATTAAGATATTGGAATATACTCTATATTCTTGATCGTGAAGCTCGTCAAGGTCGTCCACTTGGTTCAACACTTCCTCATACTATTGTTAATGATCCATATCGTCAAGTAATACCACCATTAACACAACATGAAATTCGTCAAACAGCTAAACAAATTCTTTCACCACAATATAATGGTAAATCATATACAGATCAAACATTACGTTGGTTTTTATCTCGTGATAATCGTACTGAAATTGAATCAGCTAAATATTTACAAACACTTGATCAATATCGTGCACAACAACAAAAACAACATAAAAAAAGTAATATTTCTATTCATAGTAATGAACAACAAGGAACAACAAATAGTTATTATACTACTGAAAAATTTATTCGTTATGAAAAAATGCCTGATCGACTTGTACCAATATCAACTAATAGTCGAACACAATCAACACAAAATATTCATCATCGTTCACCATCAAATCCTCATATACTTCAACCTCCTAATCTTCTTCAGAATAATATACAACGTCCTCAATCTCGTTCACAATCACATTATCAATCTTCAATATTTTCTCAGGGTTCAACTTGTCAAACACCAACACAACAACAACAACAACAACAACAACAACATCAACAACAACGAACACAATTACAATCTATGCATTCACCATTATCTCGACATCAATCAGTACATGAACTACATGCTACGCCTGCTTTTTCGCATCCACCTTCACCTTCACCATCATTTCATAGTTTACATAGTAATCAACATTATCATCCTAATCGACGAATAATACCAAATAATATTCGATTTCCATTACAACACCAGCAACAACAACGACAACAAAATGCTGTAGTAACAGAAATATTTGACAGTCAAACAGGTCGACATTTTTCAACAACTAGCCAAGAACAATTACCTACTGAAGTACTCGGTCTTTTAAATAAATATAATTTACAAAAATTTTAATAAATTCTTTTTGTTTTCTTGTACTTATTTCAAATTAAAAAAATAAATCTCATATCTATCAATTAGAGAACTAAAAACATATAATCTATGTTAGGAAATTATTCACTTTTGTTGAACAAATATTTTAAAATGACATCTTCAAATGAATTGAGACTCTCTACACATACATATGTAATAACCTCTTGATTAAACGAAAAACGTATTCTGATCGCATTTTTTTTCTTCTTTTTCATTTTACATTTCATTTGTTATTTATTATATTTGTTCATTTTTTTTTGCGATTTTTTTTTATTCGATGAATATTATATTAAAGAATGTTTTTTTTTCTAAAGAAACCAAATAAATATCTATATATTTAATCATATTCTGGATGAATTATATATATGTTACATAGTGAAAACAAAAGAGAAAAAGAAAAATACCATAGCAAAGAAAAAAAATCATTGCATTGTAACAGAAGACATTGTTTTCATCCAAAAATATGTTTTCTTATTTGTATAAGTTCATTGCTATGTCAATGGTAAGTTTGAGAAAAAAAAAATCTTGTGAAATTGAATGACATTTGAATCTTAATCAGTTAAAATATTATCGAAAAATCATAGATTGAAACGAACAGTAAAAAAATCTAATAGTAATAATAACAGATTGAAAATATCAAAATGCAAGTAATACCAATCGTTCGTCCTTGCCATATACTACCATCATCAGAAAGAGATACTTCTGATTCTGAAACAGGTTCTTGGTCATCGGCTGACCGTATTGATACACCCGAACCACCATCACCAGAACCAAAATTACCGGAAAAAGTTCCTCAAAAGTAATTTTTTTTTTATATTTTTATTTTTTGAAAATAAAAAAAAAAAAAACAAATAGAAATATTTTGTTTCTTTTATTTCTCTTAGAGTTCAAGAATCTATTGTGGAATCATCTATTAAGAAAAAAGTAATTATAGGTTTAAGTATTGCTGCTGCATGTGTAGTTATTACTGGTATTATACTTTGCATTGTTTTACCTCTTACATTAAATAAAGGTAAACATTAGAATTTTCTATAAAATTTATTAGATTTCAAATTTTCGTAATGTGTTTTAGATTCGACTATAACAATTTCAACTACGCGAGCTACAAGTACAATTATAACTACCATTCACAGTAAATAATAATGGAAATTTCGAATCATATATTTGTTTTCTTACTAATTTTTATAATCTATTCATGAGTGTAAATAAAAAACAAAGTTTTGTATTTACCATATATATCAATTTCAAAAGTTCTGAAACAATTTTATATATTTATTGTTTGTATATTCGATTGAAGTAAATCTTTTTTTGTTTTTGGCGACTTTTGCAGATTATTCTACCTATTTACTCTAGTACCACTAAATAATTACAAATCGATAGATGAAAAATTGTAACAATTTTATCATAAACGATTTTATCAAGTTTCTAATTAACAATGCTGATATAAACAAGTTTTTTTACATAAAAAAAAAGAACTCTTTATTTTTTTTTTTTATTGATGTTCCTCTATCAAATTATCATATTGATATATAATGAATGTTAATGGTGCTAATATTTATTGGTTATTTGTTGATATAGAGAAATGTAAAACCTGTTGTAATTCGTTACAATGTTTTTTTTTTCAGTTCTTTAATGCTATTGTATTTCTACGCTAATAATTTCTTCTTTTTTTAATACACTTCACATATATTCTATAGGTAAAATGTTGACTAATTGTGTAGTATAATATTGCTTAAATCTTTCGATTGTTCTATTGCTAATCTTTATATCTTTTTTATTGATGAACATTGAAATGAAACTATATTCATAAAGAAAGAAAGTACTGTTTTTTCTTTGGCATATGTTTCATAAAAAGAGATGAATAGAAAATTTGTTGAAGTCAAAAATAAGAATAATTTAGTTTTGGTATGTTGTAAAATATTTAATTTGATTATGAAGAAATTTGATTAGAGTATTTCGAGTTCTGGTCTGTAAATTTTGAACTCGAAGGATTCTAAATATGATTCATTCAAATTTCTCTAATTTCAGCATTGTTTTACACTTGAATAGTAATAATTTCATAAGAGTATTAAAAATGATGTTAACAATACGATACGAATTATTTAATAAACGTGATCTAGAAAACTTTTCGTCAACATATCATATCAAAAACTATTTAAAAGAAAACTAGGTCATGTGCATTTAGAAACTTTCTCTCAGATTATAAAACAAACTATTTTTTTCCTGATTATATGGTAAAATGTTGCTTAGATCAACATATTATTGAGAAAAAAAAATAATTGTTAGAAATTGAAGTGAAATTTGATTTCTAAATTATGCGTGTTTTACTGATCTCTGTCTAAACAAGATTCATTACCATCTTCTATAACGATTGTTTTATAGTAACTTCAATTATTTTCACGAATGTTGCAGTACCGTAATTTTTAGAAGGTTGATATCAACTAACATGCATTGTATAGAATCAGAGCATAGTCATTAAGAAAGTTCTAAATATAAAACATATGAGTAAGGTGTCAAAACTTAAACAACAATATACAGTTGTGGCAAAGTATGCTTCATCACAATTCTATTCCTTTTTTTGTTGTCTCACAATATGAAAATTACTCCTCTCTCTGTTATTACTGCATGATAAAATCTGTTCGAGTTGAATTTTGGGGATCTGGATCCAGCAAATTTAATTCTTCTCAGTTATCAATCTAAACCTAGTTCCAGGCCATCTGAAAAGAATGTTTTAGATTCAACTATACATCTCTAGCGAATCTTATGGACTCTACTACATAATAACAAATATTCATAAATCACATAAAGTTTCATGAACATTATTAACAATATATAGTTAATTTTAAACAGCGATTCAAATACAATAGTTTAAGTGAATTAAAAAAGACATTTCAGATCAAAGATGCATTTGGTTCGGTTCGATTTAAATTGTAAAAAATAATAATGAAATGATCAAATACAAAGATTTTCATAATTTTTCTTTTATCGACATATAAACTTTGGATAATAAATGATCTTTTACTTCCCTAATCAATGAAAGTAAAATAAAATATATCATACTTATTGAAATAACATGTAACACATGCTTTTTAATATAATATTGTAGTGTAGAACCAAAATCGCTTTAATTTTAATCTACAAGAAAATCTATCATATTGATTTCTCTAATCATCTAGTTGAACAAAATTTAAAAAAAAAATCATATATTATTTAAATCTAGAGTGTTTGAAGTACAATAAAGTGCTTAAAAAAAAAACTAACAAAGTTTCTACATATTTCATTTGCATAAAATATTAAAAAAAGTTTTTGGAAAAAATATTGATATAATTCTTTTCATGATTAAATATATATATATATCCTATAAAAGCAAATATAGATGATAAACATTTATATGTTATTTTTCTTTTTATGTTGTTCAAATAGATCTTTAATTTCTTCAGTTGTTGCTTCTTGCTCAGGTGTTAAGCCATGTCCATTACGAGTATTTATATTTGCACCAATCTCTAATAATAATTTCACTATATTTGCATGTCCAGAAAAGGAAGCTGCATGTAGAGCTGTACTGCCGTTTGATTCTTCGATTCTATTGACATCTCTCGTAGACATTGTTTTTAATAATCGATTCACTTTCATGAAATCACCTTGTCGACATGCCATATAAAAATCACTTGCATTACCCTTGCTGTTTGATGGACGATTTGGATCAGCAGCCATAGTGTTTTAGAATCAATCGTGAAAAATGAAATATTTTCTTTTTCTTTTTTCCTATTTTATGATTTGAATTGAAAAAGGAAATACACGACTACCATACCTGTATACCTTACTGTGACTATACTCTATTTGAAAAAGATTTTATTTTGATTGTGATGTCTAATGTGTTCTTTTATTTTATTTTAACAATTATAAATACACCGACAACAAGTGACATCAAGCGAAATTTTAAAATCATCAATTTAAGATCTATACTCATGGAATAAATTGTTCATATTGAATTATACAGAGTATTATATTTCATTTTTTTTTTGTAAAGCTATTGACTCAAAAAAAAGGACGATTTATTTCATGGAATAATTTTCTATTTGTTATAGAATGTTTGTATAACTTGAATGTATGTCTGAGCCATTTCAAGTACCATAATGGAACATATAGTTACCTTTCATTTGACGTTGATTCTTTATAAGAATTATTTTTCAAAATAAATTCTTTTACCATAGACATATGTAAAAATGTTGACTTTTTCAATTGATTATTAATTAAAAAAGTGATTAGGAACTATCTTTCTAATCAAATGAGAAAAAAAATTGGAAAATTTCAGGATGAAATCTACGACACGTATCACATCTATAGTGAAATGTTTAACAAGATCAGACTTCGAAAAGCTTCTTCTTAAAAATCAAATTTTCTACAGATCTTGTCAAATTCTAATGTATAAAATTTTTCTCTTACTTTCACCTAGACATGAAATAAAAATTGATATCATTTTTTATGTTAAGTCAATAATGTTAATTTTTTTTTATTGATAACTTCTATGAACACACGTCTCTACTGATAATTTTTTACGGATATTTCAAGTAATTCAACATACATATAAGATATAAAAATTAGCTTTAGGAAAATTAATTATCCCAAAATAAACGCTATTTTATTTTGTGAAGTGACATCCTTAACAAATGATTTCGTCCAAATGTTGATAGTATGAAAGTTCTTCTTAACAAACTCTTTTTTTCAATCAATTACAAACGAGTCTTATGTATTATTATATTTATTGATAAAAAAGATTCTTATGTAAGCTTGAACATAGATCTATCATCAATAAGAGTCTATTGTAATTAAAATAAGATAATAAATTGGTCTTTCTTTGATTGATATGACACTAGAAGTACTCGTTATTGTAAGTTTTGTCGTAACAATAGAATTTCCAAAACATGTTAATCGAATTCAATCGAATCAATTATATTAATATACAAAGCAAATGGAGACGA